TTAACCAACTGGTGACCACTGCTTTCAACCATCAAACATTTTATTGCATATAACTTTCACTATCAGCAAATATAAAGAGAAAACTGTCTACTAGTATCATGTACAAGGAAAAGCATTTGAAGAAAGAAAACATTTGAGGTTTGACAGTACTGTGTATAAGAGAAGTGTAATGTGGCATTCAAAAGTCCGTGTGGGATTCACTGCTGTTCTGACCCTGGATGTGGGAAAAGTGCTTAAGTGCTGAGCCCTGGTAGGTTTTTCTTTTGCCCCTGCAATCTTCAAATATCTTTTAACTTTTCTTCTTTTGAAATATACAGTATGTTTTAGGGGAAAATAGTGTTTCTTCTTTACATCTTTTTCACATGTGGGCCCATTCTCTCCAAAATAACCATACATTTCTTGTCACTAACATATACATATATATATATATATATATATATATATATATACCTAACATATATATATATGGAAAAGATGGTAAGATTTGACCAAATATATTTTTAACATAACCACATAACACAGAAACATCCTACGTTAAACATATTTTATAGATTTAACATAATTTTAAATAGTTTCTTGCATCTTTTTTTTTTCTTCCTTAGGAAAAATTGCTTTTAAAATGTAATTTCCTTTTAGAATAATTAAATTACATCATTTGAAAAATTCATATTATGTCTAAGCAGACAGAATAAAGTGGGCATTTGTGGCAATACTTTGCATTCATTATTCAGATATTATTTGTTAATAAGGAGGCAATTTTAAATACTTAAATTTTTGTCTTACATAGATAACAGTTCTTGGGAAAATAAATCACATACATAATTTTTACTTAAAAGTACAGCATTGATTTATAAGAAACTGTTGCATTTTAAATATTAAATGAAATGTAAGATTGGATTCCAAAGTGTTGCCATTTAAATTATTTTTTAAAAATCAACACACTTATATTACATTGAAATACTAAGTAGGCATGAGAAGAACTATCCTTATAAAGTTAGCATATTTTGCCTATAGGAAAAGTTAATGATAGGAAAGGAAAAACAAATGCAAATCCATACACCATTGAATACAATAAAAGAAATTGGCTTTTGAGATTTCCCAGGGGCTGGGGAGAGGACTGCATGTTAGTCCCAAAGAGTGCTTCCTGGGATATCCTGTAAATAATTATTTCTTCTATATCATAGCCCATGTTAAAAGTGAGAGGTAGAAGGATTATTGTAAGTATGCATGGCAGAGAACTTACCAGCTATATCCAATAACTATTGCATTCGATATTAATAATCTCAATACATAAAAATGCTGATGAGTTTAGAACCCATTCTTGTATGTTGTCCCCTTTAGCTCTCTATAATTTTGCTATTTTCTTTCAATCCATTGCCTTTGGAAGGGTATAAGTGCAAAGGGTATGTCTGGGACAGAATAGGGAGAGAAAAGGGGAAAAAAGGTCCCAAAAAATCCCCATTAAGATATAGTGACTTTAACTATTAATTAATGGTAACCTATGTTCTTTGATTGAATAAATGTGTACTTATAATAAAAGTACCGTAATCGATTAAAATATACACACATTTCAAAAAAAGTTTAAGAATTTCAAATTCAATTAGTTATCAAAGTTTACAACTCAGGTTATTTCTTTGTCTCCAGTAGTGTTAAAAACTAGGCCAAATAATTTTATTGTGTCACATTCATGATTAAATAAGAAAAACTTAAAGTGTTTGTTGTTGAATCAATTATATTTTTAATTAATGTTTTAGTGTGTGGGAGGTGAAGATTAGCAACCTCTCGGATCGTGTTAAAGAATTCTTTAAAATCCCTTTGCATTAGTATCCAGCAATAGAATTGCAGATATTGCACTGAGTATATTTCAATATTGCCAGTGTATATTTCAAAACAAATTCTATTATCTACACTAAGATTTCCTCTTTCCCAATATTCAAAATGCATATTATAATTACATGGGTTTCCAACATCCATACACAGCAAGTACAAGATACTTAGATGTACGTACACTGTAGTTACCTATATTTTGCATAGTTTTTAGTGTGTACTTTGTGCCACTTAATAAAAAGCATTACTCAGTAATTCTTATTAGGTGTTTCATTTCTTTCAGCTGTGGTTTCCAGTTCTTTTTGTTTGTTTGTTTTGCTTTGTATATTCATCACAGATTACCATTTGCAAAGGGAGATAATATTGGGCATTTTTTGTGGGCTCTAAGTAATCCGCAATACAATGGGGAAGTTGCAGAAAGTTACGAGGTTTTGCATTTTCTTCACAATTAAAAAACATAACATGAATTTCATATTTATCATTCATAAAATTATTCTTATGTCCAAAGGAAAATAAAATGTATTTTAAATGTTCCCCTTGGTAACACTTTGCAATAAGTGGCACTAAATTACACGTTAACTGGTATGTTACATGGAAGAACCATCACGGTCAAACAGCTGCTGTACATGTGCCTATATGGAATCTCAATGCTGTTACAGTCATGAGTACATAATTACAAGTGAGCCTGTCCTTTTTACTGAGATATTTATATTTTTACAAAGAAATAAAAATAAATGAGGTGTTAGCTTCTTTGCCATATTTAGGAAAGTTAGTTTTCTTTCTCTATTTTAATTGTTGGGTTTCAATGCAATATTAAGCATCTTGAATCAATATGAGATCATCCAGTTTCTAGATTAAACTCCAATATCAGGTTCCTTAAACTGCTTCTTGGGTTCTCTGGTAAAAGAAAACAAGTTGAAATCTCTCTCTCTCTCTTTCTCTCTCACACACGCACAGCCACAGCCACACCCACACAAACACACACGTCATGTGCTCATGTGCTCGATCTTTGCTCTTGCATTCATAAACTTTCCTTTTTCTTCCTAATTTGAATAATCATCCCATCTAGGACACTCAAAAATGGGAAAAAAATAATGCTGTTTACACTTTTTTGATGGAGGACAATTAATTTACACTGTAAACAGTACACTGGCAGAGAATAGCTACTTTGGGTAAAGAATAATGTTTCATACTCTACTAGGGGTATATGTGTGTTCACACTCCTTCCATTCAGTTCCATAGCTACTGTGCTCAATAAGCAGAGACAGAATTTGGCTCTGTGCATACACATGTGCACATTTCACACATTGCAATTGACATGGTCCCATTTTTGTATTTTTTCCTGATTTTTATAGAAATGTGTAGAATTTTTATAATTTATTCCCTTGTTTGGTGGAAATAAAATAAATTTTAAAGAGAGTAAAATACAGCTCTATTGCTATACTTTTCAAGAACTAAAAATGATACCTAATTCAAATCTAACTATTTTAACTGGCTAAATATTTCATTAGAGCCCACAAATCATAATATATTAGTTTCTTTTAAAGAGTTCTATTGACTTTTTATATTACTCTAAAGGGTTAAAAGAGTCAAAAATTTTGAAATACAACCAATTTTTGATTTCTAATTTTATAGTGCTATAAATAATGATTGAGTTATTTAGGCAACAATTTAGCAGTTGGAGCAAGTAGAATATAGACAAAATGAAAAGGGATGTAAATACAGCATCTATGAAGAGTAGCAATTTTGTAAGTGCATCCTGAAATTAAGTTTTAAATAGTAATTGATGATGCAGTTTATACAACTTACTTCTGTAATAAGAACCTTTCCATTTTGTACTAACAGGATGGATTTTGTTTTGTGGAGTCTTTCTAAAGATTATGCATTGAAAGATATGAACAGTTTATAAACCTATTCTAGTTTCAATGTGTCTAGTAGCACCTACCTGATTCTCTCAAACTACCATACTATATTAACATATTATTGCATTTTTCCACAGATGGTATGGAGTGAACTGTAAAAACAAGCATGCAATCACATCAATGCAGACTTATTTCCTTAAAATGTCATACTGTATATGATTTATTATGTTAACACTCAACCACATCGTATTATTTATGTTCTGTATATTCTGAAAAAGTGCTGCTTGACTGACATCGTCCTTTTTCTTTTGTGAGAAATCAACAAGATAAATGCTTTCAACAATCAAAAAAAAACAATTTAAAAATTCTAACGTTGTCTTTAAAAGTTTATACTTTTCTGATAAATAATCTAAGATACAGCACCCTTGTCTTCCATTTGATATTAATACATGATGTCATACTCAACCATTCTCATTTCCCAAAAATAAATTCCAAGATATTATTTTTAAAACCATAGGCCATCATACTTTCAGACATCACAAGTGTAGCTACCATATTATCATATTTGTTTTCTTCTTAAAGGTGCAATGCTTGTGAATGGGAAAATAATTTTTATCTAACTGGATTTTTAATTTTTAGCATATAATAAATTTAATGAGAACTAATCTAGCAGTATTTTATTTTACTAGAAGAAATAATATGACTTTAGATTGACTCTGTCATATTTAAGAATACAGCATTTCTTAATGGTAAATACACCAAAATTTCAAAAATAATCCAGAAAAAGAGACTTTCACCTTGGAGTTAAAAGCATGGCAGAAATTCTCCATCACTAACTGTTCATAAGTTTGTACCTCACAAAATGCATAGACAGGAATTTAATATAAAGAATTAGTTCATTTATACAGAAAACATGTCTTAAACACTTCTTTTTGGCAAACCAACATAGGTAAGCAGCTCTGGAACTGCCAAATTAAAATTTGTAAATTTTTAGCAAACTAAGAGTTTACTTTTAGGTTATTATTCAACTGTGGTTGTAATTTAAAACCTGAGGCTGTGCACTGGTTGTTAGCTTAAAATTACCTTTCCTTATAACATTGTGCTTCCATTGTATAACAAATAAAAATTAACAAGAACTAGAAAAATTTGTTGTTGAACAGTGCTAGGACATACAGACAAAAATACTAATACATGTTATCTACTTATAATATTGGTTTAAGTAATATCTAAAGGAATATAATGGACATTAGAAAATGCTTACTTATGACTGAATTACCTACAGCCAAAAAAGTTAAATATGTATCAAATAATGTTTAATTGGATTTATTATATGCACTATATACAGATACTAAATGTCTCAAAATTGTGCCCTATGGATACTTCAATTTTGTTTAGGCAGGTGAGTCTTTATGGAGCAAATAAATTATAGAATCAAATTAGAAAAATGAATGAAATCTTTGTGATTCCTGAAGCAGTAAAATGTTGGTAAAAATGTTTTGGTAAATGAAACTAAAATAACCTAATGGTCAGATCTATATAATTATATAAGATGTCATGTCATGATTGCAATGCATACACACATGGCTCCTGTATCAAATACTATATTTTTAAATAGCAAATTGATACAGCTTCACCAATATTATCTCAAACATTCCAGAATCTATTCTACAGTATTTTCAGTTGTGTTTTCTAGGGCGTATGTTTCCAAACATGTCTTTGAAGGCAGACATGTAGAAAACATTGTTGTAAACCTCTAATTTCTGAATAAACTTAGATGCATTAGGTCTTTACCTAATCCTGTTCCTTGTGAAAACTGTCCAGTGGTACACTGACAAAATTTATGATTTAAAGGGAAAAAAATGGGGGTAAAAAAAAAAAAAAACCACCTTTGCATACTTTTTTCAACGTATAAAAACAATTCAATACCATGATCCAAGGAGATGATTAACATTGTTAAGGCTGTATATTCAAGCACTGTATGTTAAAAGAGCAATGGTGTGGAATTTAGGCAGTAAGAAATGTCCTGCATTATGGATGGTACAGTAATTAAAGAATGATGCTTTCCACAGCTGATTGTTGGTATACACTGGCTACTGATAGCAGTACGGTATGGAAGTTAATAAAGGTAGCAGAAGATGGTAGAAATGAATTCTGAAAGATGATAGCCAGTTTTCTCCAGCAGCCAGCCTGGTAAAGAAAACTCATAATCTTGGCCTGCATTTTAAATGAAATACTCTTTTTTCTCTTCAGCATTGACTTGGCTGCCTTCAGCATTGATAATGGCTGTGTCAGCATCTGGTGCATCTTCAGCCCCTTTAGCTTCATTTGTTAAGTATGTTCCTGTGGGTATTGGAAGAAAAAAAAATATATGTCAGTTCTGTGAGACTGGTAAGATAGCCAGCATTAAAGCTACGTTCACTTAGGAAGGAGCTTGTGCCAGATTTCTTATATGTTAGAACATATTCTGTGACATAATAAACCACACAATTCATTCTTCTACTGTTGCACACTATCTTTCAGTTTTCAGGTATATATTATAGATGAAGCTGTGGCCAGGTTAACTAGAGGCAACTGCCTAACTGGTGTGGGTGATGAGTAGTTTGATTTCTTTAATGATGGATACAGACCATGTGCTCTGTACAGCTGTAGCAATCAGGGTCCTTTGTTAAGATGTTGATAATGATCACATCAAACGTGTCATCCTCATTTTGAAAACTCCCCTTAAAAGTAGATTATGTCAATAGTTTGCTACCTAGCCCGTTGCAAAAAATTTACATATTTTCTTCATTAATATGACCATATGTATATCTATAAAACAACAAACAAAAAATGTTGACCAAATGTTTAACATTATAGTTGAATGTCAGTCTAAGAGAGAAATTATAATAAACTTTTTTCCTTTTTTCTTTTCTTTCTTTCTTCTTCTTTTTTTTTTTTTTTTTTTCCCTGAGCCAGTGACTCACTCTGTGACCTTTGGCTATTGGTTAGACATTATTTTGTTAAACCAAACCAACCTTCATTAAGTAAAATAATCAAGATTTCTATGAAGTAATTTCATATTTAAATCTCTCTCTCTGTCACATATATACATATACTCATTTAATTGTTCACGATAAAGCTAGTCTTCAGAATGTTTTTTGTCAAACTTAAGAATACTTTATTAAATATTACCTACCTTTATGTCTTGCCAGATATCGACCAAGCAGAAATATAGAACACAGCGTGACAAATACAACTACAGCCACTATTCCTCCTATAAGAGCATGATCAGGGCCAGTCTGGCCAGCCAGAGCATTGGGATCTAGAGAAGAGAATAAAACATCACACAAATGCTGTCTTATTTAAGCATAGAATATATATTTGCATTGGAGTGAGTTCTTTTAAAAATTAGCACATTTCTTTTGAAATAAAATTTCATTAATGTGTATTAAACCAACCATCTAGTCAACAGATATTCATTTGTACAACATACCTGGGGCTATAACATTTGCCACATCAATCACAGTTGTCATTGACTGTACATTTTAAGACTGGATAAACAAATATACATATATAAACTTTTTTTTTTTTTTGAACGGGAGAGAGAGCACATAAGGGTGGGGGAGGGGCAGAGGCAGAGGGAGAGAGAATATTAAGCAGACTCCCCACTCAGCATGGAGCCTAAAGTGATGCTCAATCTCATGACCCTGAACTGGGATCATGACCTGAGCTGAAATCAAGAGTCCCACACTTAACCAACTGAGCCACCCAGGTGCCAGGTCAAATAAACCTGTATAATTTTGCATGGCTTATGCTTTTTCTTCCTCTTCTCCTTCTGAATATATGTGTAACTGTGTGTGTGTGTGTGTGTGTATACACACATGTATATTTTTTAGTGTGATGGATACAGCTGTCTCATTTAAAAAATACAACTGTGTCATGGGAAATGTTGGGATTGAAATGATAACTTGGAATTTATTATCATTTAAATCTTATTTAAAGCTATAGCAATTGATGAACTCCTCAAGGGAGTAAGTCTAGATAGAGAGGAAAAGAAGTCTGAAAACTGAACTGAGGAACTCCCATATCTAAAGTCCTGGAAGAGAAAGTGCTTCCAGCAGAGCTGATTGAGAAGGAGAAAACAGTGAGATAGAAAAATATCCCACAGAGTACATTGTAGTTGATCAAAGGAAAGAACATATTTCAAGGAGAGGAGGTTGTTAAAAATTGGGTTAAATGTGATTGACAGAAGGAGGAAAATGAATACACTGTGTAGAGGATTAACTGCCTATTTGACTCGTAGTTTTAGAGAAAGTAGCTGGAGAGATACAAATTAATAATATACTTTCACATTTGGTCTCTAGTAAAATTACAGGAAAGAGATGAACCCAGCAAAAGATAGCCAGTTTTCAAGCAGAAATGAAAAGATGAAAAGAAAACCTAGACAACTGGGAACTTCAAAAGTTTAGAAAATCAACTACCTACAGAAGCCACACAATAAGGGATAAAACTGAGTGAGCTCAGAACAACAAAACCCACTAAGGCTCAGCCTACTGCAAAGATCAGGTTAAGTATACTGTCTACCCTCCCAAGACCATGTTGCCAATATCCTTATAGTAACTACTTATATTCTAAAGGAGGGATTTAGGGGATGGGGAAAGTAAAGAAATAAATTAGGCCTGGAAATTATGCTTTCAAAAAATCTTGAAGTATGATAATAGGCACATGAATATGACATATTAGGAGTCTAATGTGTTTTTAATGAAACTATTATGAGAAAGTAGCATATATTTAGATAGGGGGGAAAAAGTCTACTTAAAACTTCAAACAACCTCAGTTGTTTGAGGTTGAATGCAAGAGGTAGAGTATAAAAGATGTGCAGTTCCCATGAAGAACATATTCCCAAACATGCACTCCAAATGTGACCATGGAATATAACTGACATGTTGATATTCCCATGGGGTAGAATTGCGGGAAGCAAATACGTGTACAGAAGAGAATTCCATTTCTTCAAGGAATTACAACTACTGCCAAGGCAGATGGATCCCTTAAGGCTTGTCTGGCATGTTTTCATAATTGTTACGGATAATGACTACTCAGTGATTCCATTCTTTATTTCCAAATGGGAGCACTTATATTAAGAAGCACTTCCTCATGGCTTTGTTCTCGCACTGTATTTTGTGTATGGGTAGAGAGGAGCATTAATAATTTGTCTTCTGATTCATTTGTCTCCAGACTAATATATCCAGATATGATGAAGAGGATATTTTGGGTATTTGAAGATCTTAGGCTTTGAGTTGGTTACATTGGCTTGATGGGACATTAGGTTGTCTCTTTGGACGGAGTATGGCAGTTGCTGGTGTCAGAAAAAGAGGTGAAAAAATATTTGGTGATCAGAAGGATATATTGGGGAAGATATTTCTAGCTAATAACAAACTTTTTCGTCTTCTTTCCATGCACAGAGCTAAGCATTTTCCAGCTTCACTTCAGTTGAATGTAACCATGCGATCTGTGTTCTGGACAACAGAATGAAGGTACAGCCAATAAAAGTGTTCCACATGCAACTCTCCAGGGTGATTTCAGGAGATATGAATTGAAAATGAGAGAAGCTATAAGAGTAGGTATGGAAATAGATTATTCAGTCTCCACCTGGAAGAAAATTGCCCAACTAAAAGTAAATGCACCAAACTGCACAAGGGAGAAAATAAATAAATAAATAAATAATAACATAAAAATTATAAAAAGTTTATTTTAAAAACACTGTGTATTAAAAAGTTAATCTGTTATGGAAGCTGTTGTTAATGTACCTTTTTATTATATATTTCTTGTATTTTCCTTAATTTCTGGCATTGGCTATAAATATAAAAATTATAAAAAAAGAAAAACAGGAAGAAAATGAAGCAAAAAATAAACCTGTCATGTCTTAGAATTCCCCAATCTTATTCCTTGTTTAGACACTTCAGAACCAGTTTCAAGCCCCACTTCTTGCTTAAGTCCCCAAATGCAGATAGTCATAAATCATTTCCAATTTGTTTGCTGAATATCGCTCAGAACTGAGCACTCTTTGGGAGAACTGAGAAATCACTCCTGTTCATACATCTCTGTACCTATCTCATTTCCTGAAGGTAAATTCTGAAATATGCTATTGCTGAACCAGTTGGCATAAACATTATTTAAAGGCATTTGATAAATAGTGCCGAATTATGTTGTAGAAAGGTGGTATGAATTTATCCTGTAGCATCTACATCTGAAGGATTCCCCCCATAACACTATCATCAGATGTTAAATTTTTTTTTAAAAATTGCCAGTGTAGTATTGCTAAGTGTTAAATATTTAGTATTTATAAGTTTCCATAAATGTGTCTAACTACTTTTGCCCATATGAATTCATTAATTTGAAATGGATGCTTATTCTTTTTGACCATTTTTCTATTGAAATTTTCTGTTTCAACAGCTTTCTCCATAGAAAGATGAATATTTTTAGTGAGTTTTATTTATTCTTCATTATTATCTTTTCAGTGATGGATAAGCATTATAACTTTATGTAATCAAATCTATCAAACTTTTGTGTTATGATGTCTGACTTGTGGGTCATGATTTGAAATACTTTTGCCATGATGAGGTTATACACATATAGATTTGTGCTGTCATCTAACATTTTTATTGTCATATTTTAATTTACCTAAAATGTATTTTGGTCTATGGTTTGAGGCTAAAACATAAAACAAAACAGAACAGAAGGAAGGAACTCCCTTCCTTCTTTCCTACCATGCTTCCTTCCTTCCTTCCCTCCCTTCCTCCTTCCTTTTTTTGAGAGTGAGCTGAGAGGGGCAAAAGGAGAGGAAGAGAGATAGAATCTTAAGCAGCCTCCATGCCCAGTGCAGAGCTTGACACAGGTCTCCAACTCACAACCCTGAGATCATGACCTGAGCCAAAATCAAGAGATTTTGATTTGTCAAGAGACAATTAACAGACTGAGCCACTAGGGACCCCTGTACTTTATTTTCTAAAGTATTATGTCTAGTATTTGTCAAGATTATATTTATCATTTTCATTTTATGACCATGAAACCTACTCAGTTTCCAACTTGTTTAAATAGTGTTTAAGTTGTTCTGTTAGGGTTTTCTTTTTTTCTTTCTTTCTTTTTTTTTAAATCTATTTATTTGAGACAGAGAGAGAGCATGAGGGGGAGAGGTCAGAAGGAGAAGCACTCTCCGCTGTGCAGGGAGCCTGATGTCGGACTTGATCTGGGGACTCCAGGATCATGAACAAGAGTGGAAGGCAGTTGCTTAACCAACTGAGCCACCCAGGTGCCCCGGGTTTTTCTATTATTGATACCAGTATGTATGACAATATCATCTTGATTCTGATGATCTCAGAATTGCAGCAAAAATCCAGAGGGACAAGCTGGAATCCTTCTTTTGACCATGGTAGGTCTCTTTACTCATCCCAATATCTAGAGTTATTTTTACATTTTCTATTTATCTAAAATTTGAAAGCAAATTTCAGTACACATCTCCTCATAAGAAACTTTCATGATAACAACATTCTTGAATGTTGGATATTTAAGTATTACCTTGTACAATATATTAGTACAGTGAATCCACACTCAGATTCATTAAAATTCAGAACAATTAGTCAGTGTTCTGGCTTTTTGTTTTCCCTCACTTCACCAAGATAAATCTGAAATCATTTAGGTTTTTTTTTTTTTTTTCCATCATTTAAGTGACCTGCTTTTTCTAAATGACTGCATTCTTTGTTTTTTCCTCCATTGTATTTTGATATTTTACCTAGATGCATTTTGTCATTTGCCTCAAGTCAAAATGTTTTTTCATTTGGAAACCTACTTTTTAAAATTAAAATCAAATTAGTTCATTTGATTTGAGATTATGAATTCTTTTTTTAACTCTCCATTTGATTAACAATTACTCTTTCTTTCTATTTTCTTCCTCAGGAAATCCACATATGTCCTGGTAGAAAATTCATATTTTATGTTGCATATGTGTCATTCCCTCTTTACTATTTTTATGATCATTTTACTAATTTACATTTTGTTTTAGTTATATTTCCCAAGTTTATCTTATGTTTATTTGATTTCACTTTCTACCATAGATTTTCCTTATTTCTTCCAAAAGAATTTTGTTATTGATTGTGACTTAGGTTTAACCACACTATTTAATCCCACTGTGTACTTACTAGTAGATGTTTTAAGTAGTTGCATACTATTGACAATAATAAGTGGCAGTTTTATAGTATTCTCTTTATTGTAGTATAACAATTCCATTTAAACATCTGGGAAAATGCTTTTCTTTGTTGAGCATAC